AAATGAAGAAATGAAGCAAAGAAGCCCATTGAAAAATCAATTTTCAAATTATCTAAAAGACCAGAATCAAGTCGAGTAGCCTGTAGAAGCCGGAGAAAATTAAAAATCCAATATGAAAAGAAATCATATTCAAAATGGTTGGCCACAAAGAAACGACGATATCTCCTAATCCGGAAGGCGGAATTTAACATATAATATATGAAAATCGTCTATCTCGACGAGACGAAGCTATCCGTAAAATCAGAATTTGAAAATAGTGGGTATTGATGTCGGCATCGATGTGGGCATCGATGCTGGCATCGATACCTGCATCGATGCCTGCATCGATGCCAGATTACTGTAGCGCGCGTCAATGGCTGATTTTGCTTGTCTTGGGGCTCAAGTTTGATCCAATGGATCTCATTCACTGATGTTTACTATAAATAAGGGGAACTTCTTTTGGAGAGGAGGGCTACTCTTAATTGAGAAGGCCTTCCAAATTTGTAACTTTTTGTTATAATTAATAATAATAATTTTTTCACCACTTTAAATATTTCTTCTCTTTGTTGAATGATAAAGATGGAGATGAAGAATTATTTAGAGGTTTGCATTTCTTTCCTTTTTCTCTTTTATTTCTCTTTTATTGTTTATTAGTTAGATTTATTTTCATGCTTGTAATTAGATTTTATTTCATGCTTATAGAGTAGATTTATTTTCTTGTATTTTGGCAAATTATTTTGTAGTTTAGATTTTGTAATTTATTTTGTAGTTAGATTTTAATTTCTTGCACTATTCACCTTGAGGCTAGAACCCTCTTGGGTTTAGTTTTTCTTTTTGTTTATTTTCACTTTATTTGATTCGCCTTTAGGCTAGAACCTTTTAGGGAATCACCTTTTTCTAAGAAGAAGATTCAATTCTAGATTACCCATATCTTTAATTGAATCCGCTATCTTTACATTCTTGATTTTTTATTTGTCTCTCGATTTTATTCATTCTTCCTTCTTGCCTTGTTGATCACATTTATTTTTTACTCACTTCCACTCTCAAATATATTCTTTTCCACAATCACAATCATTCTCTCCACAATCACATTCACTCATCACTCCTATTTTGTCACGCACACAACATAAGAACTGATTTTATATTTTCTCCTACAAAACACCTTCCTCGTGGGATCGATAACTCTTTATACTATAACTTGACACGGGCTAGAGACCACACTTAGAGGGTGTAGAGTGGGATTGCAAGAGTGTGGATTATAAAGTTTTCGATGAACTAGAAAACCGAGTGTGAGGTGTAAAAGTTATTCGGGTGAGCGTAGAAAACCCGATTGTGATAGTGGAGATCTCCTCAAGGTGAGGAGCGGAGACGTAGGTTGTGGGGACCGAACTCCGTGAACATATCATTTGTTTGTGATTGCATTGGCGCACTTATTTTTATGTTCATATCTTATATCGCCTTTTTATATTGCTTGTTGTTTATATTGCCCACTATCTAGTTTAGATTGTTTACCCTTGTGTTACTTGTATATCCTTACACATATATTTGTAATATATCAATCTTGCTAGGATATATTTATTAATAAGTTTTAATTTGACATAAATCGGATTAGATTAGCATAAACCCTATTCACCCCCCCCCCTTCTAGGGTTCTTTCCTAGTGGCATTAGGGTACTTTCAGCTGGGACCGAGTTCTCAACTTAATCGGCAACAGGAAATGTCCCTCCAGTCGTTTCTGAGAATTACCTAGTGAGTGGTCGAGTGCCCTGAGTAGGGTCGTCCTTGATGATAGGGTTGACTGATCCCGCCATTCGTGTCGGCATGAAAGCATGTCAACTTGTCTGACTGATCGGAATGTCATCTTGTCCTAGCTAAGAACCATCTCTCGAGTCGATATAGAGATGTTGACTCGTCTGGGAGGTCAGGATCTCTCGTGCCGACTAATATCGCCTTCCCTATCGACACCATAGTGTCGGCTTGATGAGTCGGTAGGGCCAAGGCCTCTGTGATTGTGTCTTGGGGTTTATCCCTGGTAATATACCAAGTTCTTGTAATTAGCCATGATGGTCGAGTCGCACTGGAGGATTCGACCATATGTCGTGCCTTGGGCTTACCTTGATAGAGAGCCAAGGACTTCTAATTCGACTAAGGAATCAAGTGCCTAGAACTCTTGAGAGTTGACTAGGTCTTTCTTTTCCCTAAGGCCGAGAGATGACTGTGGGAGTCGGCCAAAGGGTTGAATTGGTTTTGCTAGGACTCTTATTGTATCATTTTACAAATATCTGTATCTTGGGTGAGTGAACACCATAACAGTAGGTCGTCGGTATATGGAGATTATTTCACCAGAGCTGTTCCTCCTACTGGAGATCATTATAAAAAGATACATAGAGATGGTGATGATGATTGAGAGATGAGATTAGTTTTTGGTCCAAGTTGATTTCTTTTTCTTTCTATTTTAGGTTGTTTTTAGACTTTTTTTTTCTTTTCTATTTTTTCATATATCTAAAATAAAACAAAAATTTCTCTTTCTTTCTTTTTGTTTTCTTTTGAAAATAAACTTTGGTCATGCCTATGTATATGCTTCTATGAGATTAATTCAAATGATATTATTTTTTGGTATATAGGCTTAATTATATCACATAGGTTCACATATGGTTTTCAAATCTATATGTGTATGTATATGTGCATACAAAGATAGAAGTTTGGTTTCTTAACATATTATTTCATGAGATATTTCATGTTATATTTTTAGACACCTATTTTTGTACTTCTCGTGTTTTGTATTGTGAGATAATGGTAAAAAGTTTTTACAATTGGTTTATGAGATATTTTTGAAATATATCAAGAGTTTTTTTAGCTTGCTATTTGACTTGTTTTTAGCACACAAATACATTTACATGTACAAAAGTACATTTGTGCTAAAAATATCAAAGTAAAAGAGTGTATTCACGAAAACATGATCAGAGATCCTCACTCTAAAACCCACGATAAAATTTAGCGCATTTGTTAAAATATAGTCAAAACCCCCATACTCGTGGATAAAAATTGTGTTTATCTCAAAGGGTAGCCATCCTATATTAAATATTGGTATATTTAGAGATTGTGTACATCGTCCACCAGATATTATCATTCTTCCTCTTAGAAATCCTATACGATTGAGGCTATAGGGTGACACTTTGTTCCTTAGTTTCTAAAGTTAAAAATAATTCAAGTGTTATTCTTACTCATTATTCTTTTTTATATATTTTAATTTTTCAAGTGACTAACATAATTCTTTATACAATTTATTTTATATATTTTACAATGATATTTCATCATTTTGTGGGTGTTTTTTTTTGTGGTTTTTCTCATATTCATGTATTTTGTGATTGAATTTTAATCTCGTATGCTATTTTTCTATGAATTTCTATACGAACCGATGTATTTCTCTTCCTTACACATTTGGATGATTTTTATTTGGATTTTTTATGTGTAAAGTATAACCATTGGTGTGTTTTTTATTTTTATTTTTTCTAATAACAAAAGGGGAGAAGATTTGGTGTGAAATTTAAAAAAAATTTAAATTTTGTTTGCATGAGTGAAGTTTTTTGGATAAGTGTATTTTCAAGAGGTTTTATGCTTTTGATTTGATTTGAAATTTTTTTGAAACACTCGATGCATTGTTTTAGGGGAAGTTGTTACAATACATGTACATATTTACACTTTTGATAAATGCATGAATGTAAGAAGAGTATCGCATATCTTTTCCTTTTACATGAATGTGTTTTTGTGCTTATTTTTGCTATATCTATATCTCAAATGTGCATGTTTTTCGGTATTTAAAATTACAAGTTTGTTATTATTAAAAGGGGGAGATTGTTAATAACAAACTGTTATTTGGTACTAATATTTATTTGAGGTGATATAGTACAGGTGAAAATAGGTATACGAAGGTTACGAGGCAACAACACCAAAATCAGCATTTATGTTGATTTCAGTCTTGGAACCATCGATGGCCTATAGTAAACTGTCGATGGTTAAGGCTCGTCAATGGTCTACAGTAAACAATCGAAGAAATTCTGGAAAGTTGACTTCAAACCATCGATAGACTACAAAGAACTATCGATGGTCCCTTGAAACATCGATGGCCTACAATGCACTAGATTTTTAAAAATTCAAAATCAGACCATCGATGATCTACTTTCAGCCATTGATGGTGCTCAGTGAACCATCTGTGGTCGTGAGGAACCAGCAATGGTAGCAATGCGTTTTGACTGATTTTAAGAGTTAATCACAACCATTTATTGATCCTTTTCATCTCTAACTTCTACTAGAATTTCAATATCTCGTTTCTTATTTACTGAGGATATGTACGATAGGGAAAAAAAATCATATTTTGTAGAAATTTTATGCTTTGAGAAAAGGGACAAAATAAAGAGAGAGTTTATTTTAGGGCTTGTGAAGAAGAATTGATTTGTCATTCGAACCCCCAAAGCCTCGTCAAACTCTTTCTCGTCACGCTCAACATCTTCGGATCGTTTCAATGAGAAGAGTTGCCTTTGGGTTAAACATCATTACCATCCGTTCTTCAAGTTTCGCTTCAATCTTTTGAAGAATGGTTTGCGTGGAAAAAGGACTGTAAAATCTTTTCAATTTGCGCTTAAACTATTTTGGTAGTTTCGTTCCATCTTGTTTTTATGGCTTACTCAAGCCGATGATAATTAAGGGTTGAAACTAGGTAGGGGTAGGTGTTACTCATCTGTGAGGAGTTAGATTAGACAACTGGTTTTGAGTAGATTCCATGGTGCAGTCTTTGTAAGCATGTTAAATCGAATTGTGATTCAGGTGAACTCCGGTCATAGTGCGGAAGCCCCTTCATGAGAAAGAAGAATGCGAATGTTATCCAAACAACTATAAAAATCTCGTGTGTTCCTTGGTGGGTTTTTAGTTAGTTGTTTGCTTTTTTTTTATATTTCCGCTATATATTCTGTTTTTTAGCGAAAACTATAGCAAACCTATTCACACTCTCTATGGACTCGCACCCCAGATCCAATAAGTTAAGTGAATAGTCAACTGATCCATGGAATCTTACAGCCTGTCATCACGCAACATAACACAAATCTTGCCCTCTTCTTCTCAAACCTCAACTGCAATCCGCTCACAGGCAATCTTAAAGTGAAATGGGGTCATCCTCTATTCTTCTTCCCTTCATCCTCCTCTTCGTCACCATCTTTCTTGCTTTCCTTCATTACTTCTTCAATCGAAGACAACCATCTTCATCAACCTCTGTTCCAAGCCTTAAGAGCTACCCCATCCTCGGAACACTCCCTCATGTCATCAAGAACAGCAATCGGATGCTCGACTGGTCAATCGAGCTCCTCAACGCAAGCCCAACCGTCACCGTTTTCCCCTTAGTCTTCACCAGCGACCCCTCAAATGTCGAGCACATAACCAAATCAAACTTCAGCAACTACCCAAAATCAGATTTTCTGAAGTCTTCCTTTCACGACTTGATTGGCGATGGAATCGTCAATGTCGACGGAGAGCCGTGGAAGCAGCAGCGCAAGCTCTAAGCTCTCCAGCCACGAGTTCAGCATAGGCTCTCTTCGAACTTTTGTGCTCGAAAGAGTTCAACATGAGATCCAAGAAGGCTTGATTCCGTTGTTGGCATCAGCCAGCAGCAGCGGGCAGGTTCTTGATCTGCAAGATGTGCTGGACAGATTCGCATTCGACAGCATATGCAGCGTAGTTTTTGGCTACAATCCAAATTGCCTATCGAAGAAGGATGAAGAAGGGAATCGGTTTTTTCATGCATTAAATGAGGCCACTGATCTCAGCATCGGTAGAGCTATGCTTCCCTTCTCTGCAATTTGGAAGCTGAAGAAGCTGTTCAATATTGGATCAGAAAGGAGATTGCGAGAATCCTTAAAAATCATCAACAAAATCATCGCCAGATTCATCACGTCGAAACGAGTGGATAATGAGAGCGCAGAGAGCAGAGATTTTCTCTCCCAATTCGTGAAAGATGGAACCCAATCGAACAAGTCTCTCCGTGACATGCTCATCAGCTTCTTGATCGCAGGTCGCGACACTACCCCCTCCGCGCTCACCTGGTTCTTTTGGATCCTATCATCCAGACCGGACATAATTGATAACATCACGGAAGAGATTCAATCAATAAGAAACCCCCACAAATTGGGCGGGTCGTTCACATTGGACTCTCTTCGCGATATGAATTATTTACATGCGGCAATATCAGAGTCGCTTAGGTTGTATCCTCCGGTATCACTACAGGCACGAGAGTGCAGATCTGACGATAAATTTCCCGATGGGACTGTGGTCAAGAAAGGGTGGATGGTGATGTACAACACATTTGCGATGGGGCGAACAGAAAAGATTTGGGGTGAGGATTGCGAGGAATTTAGGCCGGAAAGATGGCTGGTGGATGGAGTTTTTCGTGGGAGGAACCCATTCGAGTATCCAGTGTTTCACGCAGGCCCGAGGATGTGTTTGGGGAAGGACATGGCTTTTATTCAGATGAAGGCGGTGGCTGCGAGCGTGTTGGAGAGGTTTGAGATGGAGGTGGTAGAGGAGAGAGGGGAGCATAACGTATCCATGGCGTTGAGGATGGGAGGAGGATTGCCCGTGAAATTTGTAGAAAGGAGCAGATGAAGCAATGGGATTCATAGTTTGTGACGTTGTTTCCCTTCCACAGACGTCAATTTCAGTAGATCGAAAGAGAATTTAGAAACAAGCTGTAGTTTACTTGTCCTATTGTGATTTAAACTTTGTTTTTGCTTAGCATAGTTTTGTCATCTCCGGCTCCCCTTACTTATCGCCTACATGTTTGCCTAGCTCTATCTTATCCTCTTAAATATCGCCTACAAGTTTGGCCAGCCCTACTTGATCGTCTCTCTACAAAAAGGAAAGTTCTTCAGCCTTGCCAGTTTCTGTGACAATGCAGTAGAGTCCTTCCAACACCTCCTCCTACAACCAAGAAGCTTACCACTGATTACCATCACATACTGAATCCTTGTTACCTGTTTCCACATCTGACATGACTAACATATGTCGAACATTCCTCCTAATCAACAAAGACGTGGGTACGAGCAGGTTAGAGAGGCCTGAGATGGAGGTCGGCGAGGAATGTAACAGGTTTCAACAGTGTGGAGAATGAAAGGAGGATTGCCGGAGAGAGTGTGATCATAAACGTACCAATTTTTTGATGTGCTGATTCATCAGTGTGTTAACCATGAATATGTAAAACATCATAAAAAAACAAAGTTTGTTCAGCAACTCTCACAACACCAATTTTGTTTTTAATGAATATGCATTGCAAGTAACATGTTTGTTTCTCAAAAAGGAAACACTGCAAGGAACATGGAAGACCAATTTTGAGAAATATTAAGCAAATAGCAACATCATCAACCACCACATCAGCAAAATAATAAAAAATAATAAATAAATAAATGAATGAATGGATAAGATTAAAATTAAAAATACACACATAAATAATAGCTAGGTAACCAAGCAACTAAAGAGAACAGAAGGAACATGAGCAAGCCTGAGCAAGCCGATGACTAGCTTGTTAACAAGAAATGCATAAAAATATGGAGAGCAGTTTACCTTTTATCTGCCATGAAAATAACCGGCACAACTCCCCAGTCCAAGACATCCATTCCAATAGTTTCAGCGAAGCATGTCAGGCAGTGGCGGAGCTAGGATTCCAAGTTCGAGGGGTCAGAGTATATGAATAAAATAAAATATTATATAAAATAGTAACTACTAGTTAAAATACAAATACATATATAGTTGTAGACGTCAGTAAATGCTTACAGACATCCAAATACTACTCAAGACAAAGAGAAGGTGATAAACATCAGTATCTAAGTCATGGGAGATCATACAAGCCCAAAGGAAGCAAAAGGATCTATGAATCAACACAAAACAATGTGAATTCACAGAACAATGCAAACTACAGCGTGTGGGCGCGGCAGTTCATGGTGCCGCGGCTACAGCGCGGCAGCTCATAGTGCCGCGGCTCGCGGCAGTGTCGACTGCCGCGCCCTTTGGCCGCGACATTGTCGACTGTCGCGCCCTTTAGCCGCGACAGCATCAGCTGCCGCGCCTAAAGAGACAGTTATTGACCAGCTATTTCTTCAGTTATCGTCTAAGGAGGCTATAAATACCCCCCTATGGCCATCATTGACAGGGGCTGAGCATTTTCCAGAGAGATTAGAGCAGAGAGCCTTGAGTTTTGGTGAATTAGAGCAAGAGAGAGAGTCTTCCTTCTTCACAAACATCCTCAAGAAGCTTCTAGCGAGTCCTAGAGATCTAAGCTCAGACTTGATCTTTGGAAGAGTGAACATCTTACATCGATAAGATATTCGCTTCAAATTCTTACTTCGATAAATGAAGGAAGAATCATTAAACCCCTCACGGTTCAATCAGAATCTGTGATTTGGTGGTCCACGAGTCAAAGCGCTCCCGACACAGGCAAAGATCCCACGCAAGCAGCGATCCAAACAACGATCCTGCGTTTATTTCTCATGAGTTGTAATTTTCATTTTGTTGTGTAAAAGAGGTCTTATAAAAAGACTATTCCTTTGAATTTATTGTAATCGATCGAAGATATAATGAATTCCACAGCAAGACCAACCCACAGTGGGAGCTAACGGTCTCGCTGCCGAGACCGTCGTGTCGCAGCCGATCAAGATTCCAGTTGAATGCATGGTCGAATACGAATTCGACCAAACTAAATTTGAGGAATATCTCTCATCAAGATCTTCATTGTCTCGCGAGTACAAGAGGATGAGGAAGACCTACACGCCAAAGAAGGCACAAAATGAAGACTCCCGCTTAATTGTTGCTGAGGATTCTACTCATAACCTCTTTGCTCATAATGGCTCTTCGCCAAGTAAAGAGTCATTAAATCAAAGCCCACCGGCATTGACGAAAAAAGCTCGTCAGAGGCAACGCCAACGCCTCGCTCGTCAAATAGCTAAGGCCTTGGAACAAACCGACGGAGTTCGTTATCATGCGGACTTAGAGTCGAGGAGGCATCGAGTGGTTCAGTTGTCTCAATGACCAATCATTCATGTCTCTGCTAAACTCACGACGGAGGAATGGACTATTATCAAAAAGACTCGTTCGACCCTCAAAGAACGTATACAAAAACATCGTACAAACGCTGCTCATGCCCGAGCTCTCCTACAACAAAGACGAGAAAGGAGGAAGGAAACGGTGACCAAAGAACCACCGAAATTCTGTCAAGTTTGGATTCCAAAGTCTAGACTTATGCAAAATCAGCATTCGGAGCCCGTTAAGACTCCATACCCGTAAGGGGGTGGTTTTAAACGTGCGACTCCAGACATAACCTTGGATCGCTCAAAAACAAAAATAAATTGTCCTAAGAATGCCAACAAGGTTTTACACCCCCAGAAGAAGACGCATTCACCAAATGATATCGTCATACCTGGGAGGTCATGCCAACAGACGATACGATGTTTTGGCAATCATACTGATGAATCGTATTATCAGGTTGGGGTTGTGCATAATTTTCGAAAGAGAGTTATTCGAGAAATAAACTCTTATTGTTCCTTTGCGCGATTCGTTAAAGCAGTATTATCAGAATGTGACTGTTTCAAACGAGAAGCCATCCCACGAAGAGTCTCTGTATTGTCGAAGCCTAAGCCGAGACATTTCCGTAAAAGAAAATCAGCTACCCAAGATGATAAATTCCCTGAAGTCACCATTAACGTGGCTGATAAAAGAAAGTCTAAGCGACATTCAAGTGACTCAAATCCCGACTTTTCCCCGAGAGGAAAAGTCAATCCAAGAATTGCTCAAAGGATGTCTCGACTCCAATTAGGAGCCATCAGACGCAGAGATTACAAAAGAATGCAAGAAGGAATGTCCTCGGAGGATGAATTCTCAGACACTTGTTCAGCCATTGCTTCTGATGATACAATGTCTAGCACGGGACAAACCAGAGAAGTACTCACGATCACCTCTAATCAATTTGCTCAAATGCTTCAAGAAGCTCTAGCGAAGCAACGTGAAGAAATCAGAGCTGAAATGAAGACAGAAATGAAGTTAGCTATTCAACAAATGAGAGAGTTGCTAACTCAACAACCTCAACCTCCTGAGTCCAGTCAGCGAGCTGAATCCAGCCGCTACACTCAGAATGGTATAGATGACAGTGATCCAGAAGTGGATGAAGTCATTATGGCTGATACACCTCCCAATGAAAATAACACTGGGGGTGGTTCAACAGATCCTCCCAATAACAACATTGGGGTGGTTTAATTGCACCGCTTAGTAACACTGGGGGTGGCCCAATTATTTCTGCTCGACATCACTCAAAGAGAGATGAAGATGAGGACAAGAAAATGCAAGAGCTTGAAAACAAAATCAACGCTTTGATGACGGCTCAAGAAGTAAAAAAGACGGGTATTCCCTATCCTTATCCAAGAGAATGGGATTCAATACCATACCCGTCAAAATTCAATCTGATTAACTTCACACCGTTTGACAGGAAGAGCGCGCCTACTCAGCACTTGATTTATTTCAAGTCTCATTTGGGCATGATCTCTGGAAATGAGGCTTTAATGGTCCGGTCATTCGTTGGCACCCTTCGTGGGCCGCCTTCGATTGGTACCGACGTCTCAAGCCAGGGAGCATCAATTGCTGGGATGACATGGAAAGTTTGTTCCTCAGCAATTTCTTTGATGATGACACCGAAGTGTCAATCGGGACTCTTCTGGATGAGAAGCAGAAAGACAGAGAGTCAGTCGACAATTTTGTCAAGCGCTTTCGTAACAAGGCAATGAATTGCAGAGATCCTGTTACAGAGGAGTTCATCCTGCAAACATGCCACAATAATCTCTCTATCGATGTCCTGGAAGTCTTGGGGGTCGTACCATCCAAAACTTAGAAAAATTTAAAAATGCGCGGTGAACAAGCTGAACACTTTCTTAAAAGAAAGAAAGTTGAGAGAGGTCAACCGACGACATCTACAATTGCTGTGAACGCGACTCTCGATCCGAGGTTCCAAAAGGAGTACTCTTTCGAAGATGATGAAGCTCCAGCCATATTGGAATACCTCATCGCTACTCTTTCGAAGATGATGAAGCTCCAGCCATATTGGAATACCTCATCGCTAATGACAAAATTGAGCTGCTACCTATTAAAGATCAGGAGGGAGCTAAAATGATTACAGATCCAAACTACTGTGCATACCACAGAAGGATTCTTCATCCAACCAATATTTGCTTTGGACTCAAAAATAAGATCCAAGCATTAATTGACTCCGGAGTCATAATGGCGAAACAAGCCGATTAAAAACGACCTTACTCCATTGGATACACGAGTATAAACTGTTTTCCCCTAACTCTGAAGAGTATACGAGTATAAACTACTTCTTCATGTCACTCCGAAAAGTATATGAGTATAAACTGCTCCTCGATACTCCAACAGGTATATGAGTCTAAACTATTTCCTTTCTTTCACGGGAAGTTCCTAGAGAATGCCATGCATGGTACTTTTAAGGATAACCCGATCATACAGCTAAACGTAATGATAAACCCAGCTTCGCAAGAAAAGCTGGGGGTGGATGGTTCATGTAACGGGAAGTTCTCGGAAGAATGCTATATGTAATTTACTTAGGGATAACCCGATCATTACAAACAAAGTGATAAACACTACATTCCCACGGTGATTTACGAATACTCTTTTGTTGAGGTAAGATTCGATCACTTCGTTGGATCAATCTTTCCTCACAAAATTCTCTCATGGTCAAACCTTTAAACAGTTAGGACCAAAGCCAAAATCCCCTCTCGATTCCTTCCATGAACGAGAGGTCCACAAATCGAATGATCTAACCTTTAAACAGTCAGGATCGCCTCAAAACTCTCACTTGGTCAAACCTTAACCAAAATCCCCTTTCGATTCATTTCATGAACGAGAGGTCTACTTTTGAATTGAATAATCAAACCCTATAACAGTCAGGATTATTCAAACCAGTCCAGATCCTTTAAGTGGAGATCCCACTTTGAGTTTCTTTTGCACCAGGAGATAGAATATAAAATTCTTCCTCTCCATCATCGGGTTCATCTCTACCAACAAACAAGAGACCAGGAGACAAAATATAAAATTCTTCCTCTCCATCATCGGGTTCATCTCTACCAACAAACAAGAGACTAGGAGACAGAATATAAAATTCTTCCTCTCTATCATCGGGTTCATCTCTACCAACAAACAAGAGACCAGGAGACAGAATATA